AAAAAAAAAAAAAAAAAAGAAGGAAAAGAAAAATAGGCCTTAAAGAGGATGTGATATAAGGTATTTAAAACATGTTAACAAATACTACTACAGGATGATGTTCCTTCTCTTGAAGAGAAAAGGCAACCTTTATTATACAGAGGATATGGTTTTTATCTAAAATACATGTGGTGGTTGACATGCTTAGTTTGCATATAACAGCTACCAGAAATAATTAATAGTCAATGGTTCATGACTGTAATCCCAGCACTTTGGTAGGCCGAGGCAGAGGATTGCTTAAACCCAGGAGCTGGAGCTTATAATAAGCTTTGACATACCACTGCACTTCAGCCTGGGCAACAGAGGGAGAAAAAATAAAAAAAATAATAATAATGTAGTAAGGGCAACTAATTTTTAAAAAGTAATTATTTGGGGCACATTCACCAATACTAAATTATACAATAATTAACACAATTTCTAAATTACACAATAATGTCACAAAGGCACTCTATCATGTATTAAAACCAAAGTCCTCTCCACCACTTAAAAGGCTCTCTAGGGCTACCACTCCAACCTAACTTCCCTTAATTCACTCTGCTGTAGCCTTTTTGCTGTGCCTTGAGCACACCAAGCTCGCTTCTGCCACAGGGACTTTGTACGTGCTATTTCATAGAACAGGACACTCTTTCCACAAATAACTCACTTTAGTTGTTCACTAATTCTGGTCGCTGCTTAACTCCATTTCTTCAGAGAGGCTATGCAAACAACGTACACACTGTCTCTCTATTCCCTTGTTTGCCTTTCTTCTCCTTCACAGCATCTGTACCATAGCTGGTAACAAACTATATTACCATTTCCCACCACTAAAACAAACTCAAAAGCTGATATCAATGTGGCTATTTACTCAAAGCAGTATATTTTGTTTTGTAACTCTAGCAGCCTCACCAACAAGCTATCAATTCTAAAATCAAATACCAAGTGGCTATTCTCTATCTTTTTAATTTAGATTTAATTCCATAACATAAAATTCACTTTCAAAATGTACAATTCAGTGGATGTTAGTATATTCAAAAGTTGTCCAACTATCACCACAAATTCCAAAGCATTTTCATCACAACAGGTATACTTTTCAAATTTTTTCATGGTCCTGGTAAATGATTCCCATGCAAAATCCATGCTCTGTTAAGAATTTGGAGGACCTCAGTGTCAATTCTTCAGGTGATAAATGCTTAAATTAGTACTCTACATGCAAGTATGGAGTCCTTGGACTCACAGGTGGATTAAGTACTTGACTAGGTAACCTTTAAAAACCTGACTAGAAATACCACCTCTACACAATAAAAAAAACAAAAAGCTCATTTAAAAAAGGGGGAAAAGACATGAACAAGTATTTCTTATTCATGAAAGAATACAACTGCACTTCAAATTGGGTAACAGAGGGAGACCCTCTCTCGTTAAAAAATAATCATGTATTAAGGGCAACTAATTTTTAAAAAGTAATTATGTTGGGTATGTTCTATATCTTCTTAGAAAGAAGATAAAATTAAACACAAAATTACTTGTGATCCAATAATTCCATTTCTTGGAATATACCCCCAAAAGTTGGAAAGCAGGACTCAAACAGATTTTGTGCACCCATGTTCATAACAGCATATTTAAAATGGCCAAAAGGTGAAAGCAACCCAGTGTCCATCAAGAGATAAATGGATTAAAATATGGTATATCCATACAAAGGAATATTAGTCATGAAAAGGAATGGAATTCTGACACATGCTACAATAGAGATGAATCCTGAATACATTATGGTAAGCAAAACAAGCCAGACACAAAAGGATAAATATTTCACAATTCCAGTTGTATGAGGTGCTATCGAACAGTTATTACGCAGGGTAAGGAGAGGAAGGAAAGGAATGGTATTGTTTAATGAGCACAGAATTTCACTTTTGGATAATTAAGACGTTCTGGAAATGGATATTGGTGATAGTTGCCCAAGGATGTGTATATACATAATGCCACTGAATTATACACTTGAAAATGGTTAAAACTGCAAATTTTTAGTCTGTGTTTCACCACAATAACAAGAATAACAACAAAAACCCTGGCTGAATGATTTTAGAAAAACCAGTTTAACAGACATGTATTCAGTCCAATTCTTTTGGCTGATCTGTCTTCCCAGTGAAAGAATGCATTTATTGAATTTTTTTTTTTTTGAGACAGAGTCTCACTTTGTCACCCTCAGTAGAGTGCCGTAGCATCACAGCTCATGGCAACCTCAAACTTTTGGGCTTAAGCAATTCTCTTGCCTTAGCCTCCCAAGAAGCTTGGACTACAGGTGCCCACCACCACAC